AAGCTTTGACTTATAAAAAAATATTTTTATTTCTTTTTAAAATTTCAAGCATTTATGATTTGAGTATTTTGACCCGCATTCAATGCATTAAAAATATATTTAAAAGAGAATAAATCTTAATTACATATATATTTAGCATTTTCACCCAACATAAGTCAAGGGGCCACTTAGGACAATCTCTAGATGTCAACCCCAATTTTCAAAAATTTAATAAAAATATCCCTACCACTCTTTCATAAAATGATCAAACTTATAAATTTAAAATCTACTATGGGTTAGCTAGCTCCACAATCCAGGTGAGGGTAAGCCCAAATTTTGCATTGCATTAGTTGGTTCGGGCCACCACTATATGGTGCCAAATTTAGATTTGGGATCCAGGGAAAATCTTTAATTATAAGACCCCAACCTCCCATAATGTAATCCTAAATTCTTAACAAAAAGTTCAACTCAAACTAAATCTTTTCCCAATCTAAGACTTAAAGTCCAACACTTAGACTAGGTCGGGACAGTTCTGGATTGTTATAGAATCTTAAAGTGTCCCCTACCCTTCTTCCTTTGACCCTACTAATAAGTGCTCCATCATGCTCCATTCCTACTTAAATTTCCAAAATTCACCTCTGATATCACTCGTAGAAGAACTTTTAACAAAAATTCTCCATTATTTTAATTGAGAGTATTCATAGAAAATTTTAATTTCCTATGATGTAATTAACTTTGAGGGCTTGCGCTCGTAGGAGATTTAGAACCCACATCCACCTTTTTCAAAATTAATTTTTAAAACTCAAAATTAATCTACCTTAGAAAAATCAAGTGGGTAATGATCATTATCGTCATATTCCATCAATCAATAATAAGTAATATTTTCTCTCTTTAGAGAGATAAATCATTTGTTATTGGGACATGGAATATGAAATTAATGATATTCCATCTGGATTATAGTGGTTAAATATTGATATAATCATGTTTTGACCCTTCGGGATCATATGTGATTCTTATTTGAATTCAACTACTACAATCGGGATGATAACTTTCAGTTTCATCATCTAAATCTGTTAGCAAAATGATATCTTAGCCTTAAGGGGTAATATATTGTTCATAATGAGATGTTCAATTTTCAGGCTGTAAATTTAAAACTCAAATTTCTCAAATAAGATTAAATCTTTCAAAATTCGCTTTAAAAAATTCTACCAACATGCATATGAAGATAAATAATATAAATTTGAAATTGAAATGAGCATCAACAAAAGAAATGCTCTCAATATCATATTTGTTTCCTACTCCCACTTGCCACATGAGTTGACAAGAACCTTTCAAACTATATCGATGAAGCAATTAGGAATGAGATCACATATAGGCTTCTCCTAACTAGTCATGATTCATATGTCATTCATAAGACAAACGGAGTCGAATGTGAGACCAAAATATAGATATTCACATAATGAATAAAGCATAATTCATTCATGAATTAAGAAGTATATCATCACTTTCTTAATGACAAGTCATAATATATTTTATAAAAACTCCAACAAATCTTAAGACAAAAAAAAAAAGGAAATAAAACCCATTATATGGGAGCTTCTATTCACAAGAGGCAAAACCACTCAAACTCATTGGTGAAATAATTTTTGAGCATGCACTTTCATTTTAACTTTCTACAACCATCCATAAAATCCACACGACTCAAGTTATGTGAATGCTTTGTACATAGCTACCATTTATGTGAATAAATAAGCTCCTTACTTTCCCCAATTTCAAAAATGTTTTAGAAACATAAATGAAATAACATCCAAATGTGGCAACTCGTTTTTATTTAGTTCAGACTTGTGTTATTTCTTAATAGGTATTACCAAAAACACTCTCTATGCATTCATTGAAGGGTGCTACAACTTCAAGTATCTTATGAAATTTCAAAACTACATGTCATGCAACCGCAAACATGAATAAATGTATGCAAATGAGTTACAAGTCAGTATAATAAACTCAAAATATTGTGCAATGTGTGTAATAAAATGACATATGCAATAATATGTAGGAATCCACCAAAGCTTTGTTAAAATCATATGGCATAAGTCAAGATGTATAAACATGATCATACATGAAGGGTGAGACGTTAAATGCTTATGATTAAAATGTAGTGTTAGACAAATCTCTATATATGCATACAACAAAATTCTCTGTAGACTTTTGTATATGTACATGACTCATCGCATTCAATTCTCTTATGATTAAAATGACAACACAAACCTTAAAGAAGACTTACGAGAAATGAATGAGTATTATTCAGATAAAGGCATACAAAAAAGAGAACCGTGACATACTCATACATAAATCTATCATTGGACATTGCTAGGAGATTTTCAATCAACAAGTGTTCCAACAAAACGTCTTGCCACAAACAAGGATAAATAAAAAATAACTTCTTTTAGTGACATTTCAACAAGCAATAGATATACAAAACTTGCCAAACGAGGTGAATTACAACCATCATACGTTACTAAGGATGGCATAAGCATTTGATTCATTACTAAAGCATATAGAGAACCTTTCTTCCTCAAACTATGATGTGGGATCTTTTGCATATAAAATACCAAGGAATGACAATATACACCACCCATCAATAATCAAGTTTTATTAAACGTATATACAACTTTTCTTTAGTAGAAAAAAAAAAAGAAGTGCATATGAATTTTTTCTAACCAAGTTCCACCAAATACATACATATACCTTTTTTTTACTAACATAACAATCACAAAGGTAATTGACCTAAAATTCAATGTAATGCTCAATGCATATTTCTCCTGAGCCCTCTTCTTAGGAATTCCACTAACTCTCACTCCTTTTGCTCCCAACAAGACGTAGAAGCTTTTTCCATCATAATATATTGGAGAATTCCTATAGTGCTTCCCTCTTTAAAAAGAAACTTCTCTCTAGCCTCTTATTAGTTCCATCAAGTCCCCCTAACCTCTTAGAAGGCCTTTGGGATCTTACAAGTAAGATCTTCAATAAGTTATTCTCCTAAGAACTTAAACAATAGTTAGAGGAAAAAGGATATAGAATGAGCTAGAACAATTGTGGTGAACTGTTAAGTGAAAATTATTTTAATATTTATTTGTATATATTCCCATGAAATGTTTGCTTTTGTTAAAGTTGTGCTTGAAAATTCCAGGAAAATGGCAAAAAAGAGGAAATTGGCTTTTGTGTCGCGATGCCTGACCATTCCATGCCGTAATGCTATCAATGCCAAATGCCAATATAGAGTGCTAGGGAGCTATTAAGTTTTATGATTTTACAAAGAAATTTAACACTCTAATAGTGAAACCTTAATCGTTGCACTATTGTCAACGTCCTAGTGCCATTTTGGAGCATCGTGGAGCCACTGAGTTAGGGAAAATGCATAATTAATTTAAACCTCAATCCAATTATTGTTGCAATTCAAAAGCCCAATCTTGAGTTTTGATGATAACAAATATTATTGGATTGTATGATCCCAAAAAAGTAAAAATTAATTTTTTGTTCCTTGTTAGCTTAAGGTTTATTGTGTAATAGAAAAGTATGCTCAAACTTGAGTGAAATTTCTATAAGATGGTGGTTAACTATTTCCTCCTCTATCCCGGCACAATTTTCATTTCCTCTACTTAGTCTCTCATCTCCTCTACTTAGTATCTAGCTTAATTAAGCTACAAGGCTACAACCGCCTCCGATCAGAAGACGGCCAGGTTGACCAAGGTCACACGCACCTCCAATATAATGGTCAAAAATTCAAATCATTCTAAGAGAATGTGCAATTATTGTCACCATGTTGAACATAATAGGTCCACGCATACTTAAAACTTAAAAAATCTCAAGTACATTACATGATATTTAACAATGTATTATAGTTATATTTTTTCATTTTTTACGCATCCTATAGGAGGCAATCTAGGTCACAAAGGCAGAACTAGTTGGTCGAAATGGATTTAACTTAACAACACCCATTCTTTCCTACTAAGCTCAATCCTAATATTCTATTATTTCAAAATGTAGAATTGGATGAAATGTTATAATAATTTAGTAGAACTCGTGCATTAGTGAATTGCATTGAATTCCTTTTTATAGTTATTTTGTAATAGATCTTTCATTCTCACAAAATTTGTATTAACAAATTACCAACTAACACTAAATATTAGTTAATTTAAAGATTAAAAATATTATTATTGAATAAAAAAATATTAAATTTCTATACTAAGAAAAATAATTTACACTAAATCGTTTTAAAATTATACAAATTAAATTTAGTTATTTATGCAATTTAGAATTATATATTACTTAATTATCTTTTTGAAAATTTCTTATAAAAAAATTAACAAATTTTATTAGAAAATATACCAATAATTTAAAAATTATATAAATATTTGATTTTTTTTAATTAAGAAAAATTAGTTTTTTTTTAATTCTTTTTTAAATATTCTTTTGCTAAAACAATTCTTTCTAAATGTCGGCAAGCTTGATGCGATCTTGAAGCTCATGGTCAAATATATAATAAATATAAAACCGACAATTTTTTAAGTGGCATAATATATATAATAATAATTCACTTAATTAGTTAAAAATAAAATAAAATTTTATTAAACTGTAAGAAAAACTAGATTTAAAGATATTCCACATTTTAATCCAAACAAGGAAAATCGATAGAGGAAACAAAATTAATTGTTTTAAATTATTTTTTTTTTTAAGGACAGTGCGCCAAACTATGCTACAAAACTAATAATTTTGGATTTATTTAGGTCTATTTTTTTATTGCTTTAATTTTTATGTCCAAAAATTTTTAGCACAGAAAATTTTTATGCTAAAAAATTATTTTATAAAACAATAAAAAAACTGTAAAAAAAAAAACTTACTCTGCATAAACCTTTACTTGTACCTTGACAACACAATTTTATAGAACAAACGAACAACACCTTAACCAACACATATTTCTGAACCTCCTAATCACGATCAAATGAACAGAATCAAAAGTAACATAAAAATGTTCGAAGTTCGAAAATTAACTAAAGAGTAAGAGTTATAACAAAGCCGATAACTTACCTCTTCATTAAGCATGCTAATAGTTTAGCAATGTTAAATAATAGAGTCAGTAGCTGGAAAAATAATCATCAAGTGATCAAACATTAAATTCATAATTTCTTAAGTAAACCCTTGTCTCCGATGACTTCGAGCTCTCTAATCCTCTGAGCAGCAGCCGCAAGGGTTTCATCACTCTTGCAAAATGCAAATCTAACAAATCTATTGTAATATTTATTTTCATTATTGGAACTGTTATGAAAGAAACCGCATCCAGGTACTGCAGCAACCCCACCTTTCTTGATCAGCTCCCTCACAAAATCCACCTACAAGCAGAGTGCTCAAACCAGAAAGAAATTGTCAGAAGTAATATTCCATTAGACGGTGATTTAGCAAGAAAAATGTAATACAAATGGTAACGTTCCTAACGTGGGTTTTCTTTATTGAGTCACAGTTAATGGGTTGTTATTGTCTCAATAGTTGATTATCTATATAACACTATTATTTGAATAATACTATTAACTATCAAACATAGCGTGTTTGATTTTGTGCTATCTTGCTTAAATAATGTATAGTGTTATTTATAATGATCGCTGATAACATATATGATGCTATGATATTATTAGGGATATGAAAAGGGATAAATTCTGATCACATAATTTGCTTTTGCTTCTATGATTGGGCCTATCTGGATGAAAAGAAACAGGCAAATTTTTTTAATAAATAATCTGTTGGTTCTCTGTTCAATGATATTAAAAGGGATACGCAATCAAAATAATTGTTCTATTTGATCCCTCAGACACTTATTTCCATTGAAAAAAATTATCAATTATTATTATTACATTCCTTACGGTCATTACATGGCCTGACATTTAGAGTGACTGTTGAATTGTGACACAAATAAAAGATAGAAAAATAAGACTAAAATATCATTTATAAAAGAAATAATTATAGATGTCATCAAACCAAAAAAAATTTGACTAATGTCAAAATTAATAGTAGCTATCAAGTAACCAAATAGAAAGGCAAGCTAAACAATATTAAGCCTAGATATTTCATGAATGGGTGAAAAAAACATACATCAGAATGTAACCAGCTCTCTGGAAGCTCTGCAAATAGAAAAAATGAACCCTGCGGTCTGAACTGTATTTGGAAACCAAGTCTAGAGAGAGTCTCAACAGCATTATCTCTCCTAGCCTCATAGCTCTTCCACCGCATACCAAGATAAAAAAACGTGAATTTGCAATTTGATAGTGCGACAGCTAAGCTGGAAATAATTTCCAGCATAAATAGCCAAGGCATAAAAACAGCTACTTACAGTTCTAAGGGACTTGAAGTATTCTGTGGAGCTTCTTAAAGCCGTAAGTGCAGCCTCTTGGAAAGGTGCAGGTGCTGAATCTGTTATATTGATATGAATATTTCTTATCGCAGATGCAATATTGGATGGTGCGCAAGACCAACCTATTCTCCAACCTGTTGAGTTTGCGAAGCATAACAAACCTTGTATATCACACCAAGAACATATAGAAGAATAAGTAGGAGACAAGAAGACAGAATGTGATTAGATGAGGCAGTAAATATGCCAAGACAATGGTTTTGCATTTTGGATGTTAAAAGATACACTATGACACTGTCCCTTCAATTTGTGATAATGTCCTAGAAAAAACGGTAGCAATGAACTGATTGGCTTTGAGATGTCTTGTTCTAATAGAGCACACATAAGAAGAATATCAGCCAAATGTTTCATTAGGAAAGTTCTGATTGAATCATCCAATTCATGCAGACTGAAGTGAAGGACAAGAATTACTATTAATTAATGTAGCTTAAATATCAAGCGTCAAATAAAGGTGAGTTAAAACATGTTTAGAAAGTTGCCAGTTTGTGTTAGCATTTGATAAACAACAGAGAATAAGGTAATTTAATTATTTAATTTTATTTATTTTAAATTTGAAAAATAAAGTAAACATTGTTTAAAAATTTTTGAAGATGAAGTGAATTTTAAATTAATTAATTTTAAACAAATGTTGTTAAATGAGTTCTTAGAAAAAATGTTTAATTATAGAGGAATCAAATTTCTTTTTAATTATCATTACTAGGTTATTTTAAAGATTTAGACGAATCTAAGGTTTATTTTTTCAAAGGTTTCTTTAGATGGAATAAAGATCCAAGTTTGTCAATCATCTTTGAACAACACATTAGCCTTCTTGCCCTTAAATTAATGAGATGACATAATCTCTTTGTCAGCTTTCGATTTATTCACTTAAACATTTATTGATTTAACCATATTTCAATGTTATTTTGCAACTATATTGATCGAAATCAATACAACAACAACAACATCAAGCCTTTATTCCACTACGTGGGGTCGGCTACATGAATCCTTTTTCTCCATTATGTCCTGTTAAGAGTGAAATTCTCTTTTAAATCTAATAAAGAAATGTCATTTCTAATATTTTCTAATCTAGCATTTTTAGGTCTACCTCTACCTTTCTTAACATATGTCAAATCTAATACATCCACTCTCTTAACAGGGTCATCAAAAAGCCATCGTTTTACATGTTAATTGAAATCAGTGTGAGCAGGATATTTATAAATGTGTTATAACATATGAAAAGTTTATATAGCACCTCTTTTTATTTTAACAAAAACAACAAGCCTTTATCCCACTACATGGAGTTAGCTACATGAATCCTTGTTCTCCATTGTGTCTTGATAAGAGACAAATTTTCATTTAAATCTAATAAAGAAAGGTCATTTCTAATATTTTTTTAATCAAGTCTTTTTAGGTCTATCTCTCTTTCTTAGCCAAGGGCGGACCCACGTTCAATTCAAGGTGGGCAAATGCCCACCCTAAATTGCCCACCCTAAAAAAAAATGTTAAGAGGGTATTTTCTGTATTCCCCCCCCCCCCTCAAAAAAAAAAAAATTCCCGCCTATTCAAGCCGCTTTCGGCCTTTTGCGAAATCCCATTCGACATTCGGCATTCATGGTTCGGTCGCAGCCTTGTCTTCACAGCCCTCTCCTCTTCTTCCCATTCGATGTTCAAGAGATCTCTCAGTTCGCAAGCTCCGCTCTTCGTATTCTTCGGCCTTCGCAGTCGCCACTTGGAAGGTCCGGCTCTTCCGCCTTCGCAGTAGTAACTCACAAGGTCCGGCACTTCGGACTTTGACCATCGCAGTCACTTCCTTAGCCGCTAGTCTCCTATTGAAGGTAACTTTTATCTAGCAATTAGCCGATTAGTCTTGTTCTTTTGGCGCCACCCTACTACTCCAGTTGCCCTATTTCATACTTCTTTTTTGTATACCGGATTTTTTTTAGTTTCATTGTTTGGTTACAAGTATGATTTGAATTAAGTAGGATTCGATTAATCATGTGAATTCAGATTTAATGAAGAAAATTTTCTGGTGAGAAGAAAATTTTGTTTACATGTAGAAGTATTCTTTGCTAGTTGCTATATGCCTATATTGAGTATTAAATAACATTGGGTCTTAAGATGCATATAGTTTATAAATAAATAATCAAATTATCTGAAACTGAGACAATAGATACCACCTTTAATCAAACATTATGATTTGCTTCCAAAACATACAACTGTTCAGAATGCATTGTTTTCAACCGCCTAGCAACAGACCCTTTCTTTAGACTAGCTTTGCAGAAAGGAAATTTGTAATGAAGCCATGAAGGCGTTTAAAAAAATTATATCATGTTTTGGTTAAATCGTGCTGCTGCTGCTGTTTTCCCTTCCCCTACTTCTCCATAGGTCCTTATACAAAACTAGCATATGTTGACAACGCAAAGCCAACTTTTAGATCCACTAAAACCCATGCTTTTAGACTTACTTAAGAGGGATACTGGAGAGAATGATTTGGATCTTAAACATTTGATCAATTTTCTCCAATAAACATTTTCTTTTAACATCATTCCACATTGCAATCTCAATAACTCATTATATCATCACTTTATTATGATTAGAAACCAGTCAGCCATATTGATTTCTAACGCTCTAGCTAGATTAGAGAATATATAAACTTACACAACTTTTGAATGGTGAGGCTTCAGGCTGGGAATATTACTGTCAACAATTAGAGTATACATTGGGAAACTGAGAAGGAATAAGTAGTGAAAGGGAAGGTACTCATCAGGCATTAAATTTCTAAAGCAACAATTAGGTAAGATCACGGAAAAATAGAAAAATAGGCAAACATCCCACCTTACTCTCCCTCAGTTGCGAATTTAACAGGTTTCCTAATAAAGGAAAGTGCTTTTGAAAGACAGATTTCCCAATGCAGTGAATCTAAAAAAAATAAATTAATATTATCATATATCTTCAGTACTTGATGTTTTTCTTCATTATGTTGTTAGAATTTTGAGAAATAGAGCGATTCTTGAAGCGAAAAGAAAGTGTCGAGATTGATATTAACATCTCCTTGCTAATCATGGTCTTCGGATATCAATATGAAGTTATGATGTGAATGAGCGTGAAAAAATTCGTAGAGCTTATTTGTTAAAGGAACCGCATCAACCAAAAAATTATCATTTCCCTCAAACAATTATAGCAAATATTGCTCGTAGGTGTAACTCGAAATGAGTTGAAGATTTTCCTGATTGGATTGAATATAGTGTACAAAAAGATGATGGTGCGGGATTTAAGAATTGGAAGAGAAAAGAGAAGCTTTTGGGTCATGTTGAAGAACACAAGAAGGAAAGACAAAAATGTGAGGTTTTAATGAAGATTCAAGAGTAGAGTATTAATACTTTATGGTTGAGCAAGGAAGACAAGAATAAAAAAGAATATCACATCATATTAACAACAGCTGTTGACTGTGTTCGATTTCTTATTCGCCAAGGGTTATCGTTTCATGGGCATGATGAATCATCTAGCTCTGATAACCAAAAACATTATATAGAACTATTTCAGTTTCTTACTAATCATAATGAAGAGATTAAAAAACTTACAATTGATAATTCAAGTACAAAGTTAAAATTAATTGCACCCAAAGTAAAAAAATAGATTTGTAGTTCTATGGCTACTGAGACCTTGGCTACAATCATGAAAGATATTGTTGATTCTTACTTCATCATTCTAGTTGATGAGTCTCGCGATGTATCTACAAAAGAACAATTAGTTGTTACAGTGAGACATGTAGATAAATTGGGCCAAGTAATTGAGAGATTCATTGGTATTAGTCATGTATCTTCAATAAATACATTAGCACTTAAGGAATCAGTGAAAGCGCTTCTTACAAAATATGCATTAAGTATACATAGAATGCAAGGACAAAATTACGATGGAGCATCTAATATTAGAGTGAGATTAATGGTTTGAAAGCACTCATTCTGAAAGATAATCCTCAGACATTCTATATTCATTGTTTTGCTCATCAACTCCAATTTTATTTAGTGTCTCTTGCAAAAAATAATTAGGAAATAAAGCATTTATTTGAAATCACTTCATGAATTATCAATACTATTAGAGCTTTATATAAGAGAAATGATACTCTAAAAGTTATTCAACGTGATAAAATAATTTTTCATTTAAGCAATGGAGATTTAATTAGTGGTCGAGGTTTGAATCAAGAAACCAATTTGCATCATGTTAGTGACACCCGTAGGAGTTCGCATTTTCAAACATTAATCAGTCTAATAAAAATGTATGCTTCTGTGATCGAAGTACTTGAAATTGTCAAGGAAGAGGGAATACATGATCAATAATCAGTTGAAGCAGGTATTTTAGTACATGCGATGGAATCATTTGACTTTATCTTGATACTGTATTTAATGATTGATGCTTTAGAGATTACAAATGAATTCTCACAAACCTTATAAAAAAAGGATCAATATATTATAAATGCAATGAAATTGGTACAAGTGGCCAAGCAACGATTGCAAATGTTAAGGGAAAATAGATGATAACCTTTACTTAAATAAGTGTCACGTTTTATTAATAGTTTTTTAAATTAAAGTTTTAAATATGGATTCTAAATTCAAGGCTTATGGACGGTCAGTACGAAAATGTACAGAAATAATAAACTTTCATTATTATCGAGTTTATTTATTATACATGATTGTTAATACGCAACTTCTAGAACTTAATAACTAATTTTCTAAAACTAGTACCGAGTTACTTCTTTGTGTGACATGTCTAAAATCCATTATTTAAAATTGTGCAATATGAGGCCCGCCTTTGCGCAATTTCACTAAAAAATGCCTCAAGACTTACGCCTCGAACCTTTTTTGTGAGGCTTGCGCCTCAACTTGGCTGAGGCCCATCTTGAGAAGCGCCTCGCCTCATTGGCATAAGGCGGAACACCTCACCCTACTTATATATATTTTTTCCTAAAACCTACCTAAATCCTAAATTAGAGTCCCAAACAAATCATGCCTTAATGCACCCCCGAGCCACAACAACTTCCTCTCGATTGCCTCGGCCTCTAGCCTATCGCCTTCACCACAGCCACCACTATTGTAGCCACCGTCAAGGATCACTTGAAAGCCGCACA